GCCAAGCTCAGAGAAGCTCAGAGAAGATGCTCTGTCAATGCTTCCCGCCTGTGCACACAGTGGCAGGTGATCGGACCTCCCTATAACTTATTTGTTTAAAAATCATTTTACTACCTTTTTCTCCAGCCCATTTTGCCGCCATGCTCAGGCTGTGGCTCAGGAGAGCTTGACAGCAGCCAGATACAGCCAGATGAATAGACTGAATTGTTTTCCTCTGAAGTAGCTGATGGTATGAAAGAGATTAACTTTGTTTCCTTGATCAAGGCTGGGGAGTTAGAGTGAGAATCTCCAATTCAAGGGTTTTTACACCATGAAGGAAACGGTACACTTGGAAAGGTATGTTTGTGCATGAGAGAGAAAGTTGATTCAACTGTCCTTGATTTTTTAAAGGCAAACAGAATGTTTTATATGAGATGAAATATTTTCTACAAAGAACTAGCTTACACTTTAAATGTGAGGCTGAGCAGTACAGTGTTTACGACAGTGCTTTCTTTTCTTCTGGAATGTTTAGATGGTAAATCTGGACAGATGAAGTGAGGTCGGCCATGCAGCCGTGTGTTTGTCACGTTGTGCAAAGCAGGGTGTGGGGAACTCACAAGTACGAAATGTTAGTGCCTTCAATTCGTGCTGCCAAACAAGAGCCACCTCCAAATAGTCCCCACACCTGCATGGAATTAATTCCAGTTCCCTATGTGTGATGGGAGAGAAATCACGCACTTAATCTGTATCATATGTCTCGGAAAAGTTCCAGACAGACACCAGCCTGGAGTGAGAAATGTGGATTTTTTCAGTGACTAATGTTTAAAGGGTAACATTTCCTTAGTTTCATAAAACAGAATGAAGGCCTTTTGGGGGCCTACTTTAAGGAAATCTTTCTTTCTTTCTTTTTTTCTTTTTTATTGAATGGTAACTATGTACATTAATGCACTTCTGGGGTACAGTGTGGTGTTTTCACACACAATCTGAAACACTTCCATCAAACTGGTTAACATAGCCTTCATGCCATTTTCTTAGTTATTGTGTTAAAATGTTCATATTCTACTCTTAGAGGAAATCTTAAAAGAGTCACTTCTGGAGGAATTCATTGCTAGTGGAGGGAAAAAAAAAAAAAAAACACCAGCAAGTAGAAATATCTTTCCTCTGATCACATGGTCTGTTAGAGACTATTCCAGTTTGACATGGTGCACGGACAAGTTGCTTAAAGGGAGAAATAAAAAGGCTCAGGATGTGGAGAAGGAGCTTACCAGTTCTGTGGACAGCAGAAATATACATGCAGAATATTGAGTATTGGCACATCTACTGAGTGTTCACAGCTTTCATCAGATTCTCAGATAATTTCACAGCCCAGAAAGGTTTAGGCTGTGCCCACCACCTTCCACAACTATTGATGCAAGACAGGTCAGAAAAACAAACATAAAATACAGAAACAACAATAGGCAATAAGTGGAAGAAATTATATGTATCAGACCTTAACTGATCGTGAAATGGGAGAGATCTTTGCAAGCCTGAAAAGAATTCACAAAAGATTAATAAATATTCAAAACCAGAACTCCTAAGCCCAAAATGAGATTACAGTAAATTACTAATGTATTAAAAAGAAACTCCTATAAACAAGGAAGAAAAACTCTAACTCTGAAGTAGGAAAAAAATAGGCAAAGGTTAGGATCAGAAAATTCACAGAACAAATCTAGTTAATAGCTGGAGCTGGCTGGTACTGGCTCATGACTGCCAAGTCCCTACTCCTCATTCAGTGATGTCACTTTAATAACTTGAAATTGGCCATTGTGGGAGTTTTCACAGCAGAGAAATCAGCTATAAAGCAGTTTTTTTTTTTAAAGGGCCAGTTTACCAGCACACCATTGGCTAAGAAATATATAAAAAGCAGTTCAAGTGTACTAGTAAGCAAAGAAATAAAAAAAAAAAGAAAGAAAGAAATGAGGCCTAGAAAAGATGTAATAATAAGTATAGTTCACTCTGTTTCTCCTGCAATTATAACAAAAAAATCTGTACTAAATTCATAAAGCAACTGATAGAAGACTCTGAAACTTGGAAAAAAGAAAGAAGACTGGCTAGTGACTTCAGAACTCAAAGAACTACCAAGTGGTGCATTCTTGTCTGTGTTTTTTCTTTTATATATCTTGGCCTGGGCTCTGGAGAGGCCCACAACCTGGAAATAACTAATGGCACCAGGCTGAAATTTAAAAATCCATAAGGAAAAGCCTGTTATCTCTGGCCAAAAGACTGGTGAAAGGGCAGTCCTGAATGACAGAAACATTTTGACCACAGTTGACTTTAGCTGAACACCAGAAAAAAGCTATGCCCTTCCCCTGCCTCACTGGGCACGGTGGCCTGGAGGTTGGCAGATCTTTCCTTTCTATCACTTCTTGAAATAACAGACCATGTCCCTTTCCTGGAACAGAGACTGTGCCAGAACTTTTAGTAGATTTCTTAACACTATGGAGTCTAAAAGGAAGAAGAGCAACATTTTTTAGTGCTAAAAGAAGAAAACAATCAACTCAGAATTCTATATCCAGCAAAAATATCCTTCAGGAATCAAAGCAAATTAAAGACATTCTCAGATAAAGGAAAATTAAAATAATTTGTTTCCAAAAGATTTACTTTAAAAGAATAGCTAAGGGAAGTTTTTCAGACAGAGAGGAAGTAATAACAAAAACTTAGAACATCAAGCAGGAGGAAAGAACAGATAAAGTATGAGTAAACAGAGTAGACTATTCTTACATTTTAAAAATTTTTGCTAAAAAAAAATTACAACATCTGCAGTGGTTCCCAATGTACATAAAGGTAATACTTAAGACATCTATGTCATAAATGAAGGAGGATTCTACATTCCACCTGAAGTAATAAAATAGTGACAGTAGTAGAATATGATAAATTATGTATAAATACTGTAACCTTTAGAGCAAGTCTTTTCAATCAGGGTTTGCCTTTTAGGGGGTGTTTGGCAATATTCATAGACATAATTACGTGTGTTATTGCCATTTAGTTGGTAGAAGCCAGGGCTGCAGCTAAATATCCTACAATGCATAGGGAAATCCTGCAGAACAAAGAATCATTTAGCACAAAATGTTAGCTAAGGTTGAGAAACCTGCTCTATAGAAATCATACCAAAAACTATAAAGATGTATATTCAAAACCACTATAGCTAAATCAACATGGGATACTAAAAAATGTTTAACTGAACCACAGGAATGCTAGAAAGGGAGCACAATGAAATAAAAACCACAGGTAACAAATATTAACACAATAAACTTAAATTCTAACATGTCAATAATTACATTAAATATAAATGGTCTAAACTCACCTAATAAAAGACAATGACTGACATAATGGATGAAATAATGTATGAGTCAACAATATGCTACCTATAAGAAACTCTTTTCCAATATAATGCTATAGGTAGATTAATAGTGAAACAATGGGAAAAGACATGCATTGCAAACACTAATCAAAAGAAAACTGGAGTGGATAAACTATTATCAGATGACATGGACTTTAGAAGATTACCAGAGTTAAAGAGAGACATACCATAATAATAAAAGGGTCAATTCAGGAAGAAAATACAATGATCCTAATTGTGTGTATCACAATGGAGCTTCAAAGTACATGAAGCAAAAACTGACAAACTGAAAGGAAACATAATTATATGAGTACTGGGAAACTTCAACATTCTCTTTCAACAACTGAAAGAACTACTAAACAGAAAAAATATTGCGATATTTTATTTATCCAATTGTCAGAGCTCTGAAAAGTTAAAATTTAAGTACTAACAAAGTCATGGTGAGAGAGACACTCAAGAATAATGTGGGGGCATAAATATACAATACCCAGTATTGTGCTTTTAAGAATCTCTTCTAGGGGAATAATTAAGGATGCTTAAAATTTGTCTAGAATAGTGGTTCTCAACCTGTGGGTCATGACCCCTTTGTCACAATAAAAATATATCCTGCATATCAGATATTTACATTATGATTCATAACAGTAGCAAAATTACAGTTGTGAAGTAGCAACAAAAATAATTTTACAGTTGGGGGTTACCACAACATGAGGAACTGTACTAAAGGGTCATGGCATTAGGGGGCATTAGGAAGGTTGAGAACCACTGGTCTAGAAACTTCATAACAGAGCTATTTATAATAGCAAAAATTGGAGACATCTAAACATGCCTAATAATTGGCAAGTACTTAACATTATTCTATATTAAAGTATTTGTTAAAATAACATTTTAAAGTTTTTTTATGCTACGGTAAATAAGAATGATGTTAAGGCAAAAAAGCAGTGTATAAAACTGTGTACATAATCTAAATGTATGTGTTAAAAATGCACATACAATTATAAATACTAGGTTACGGTGACAGCAGTAAAATAGTATCAGTGATTATCTCTTGATTTTCATCTGTGTGGTTTTTAGCTTTGCCTCTCAAGTTGCCTATTGTTCAATATCACATTCATAGTCAAAAACAAACAGATACTTTTATTTCAAAGGCAGCATGAAAATGAGATGATATGTATAAAGTATCCATTGTAATGCTGAGTCTACTACTCAACAGGTGGTAAAATTCTTGTAAATATTTTGAAAATGAAAATTGGTGAGAAAGTATAACCATAATTATATTATCCTTAATGTGACTATCTGTCTTGGCTCGCTTGTCTCTCTTTTATTGTCCAGGCCTAATTATTAATAACACCTCCCTGCTATTGTCAGAAGTGTCATGATTCAGATAAGTTGGATGGGTACCTTGCCTATTATGAATATTAAAAAATTACTAATAGTAAGTTAAAGTAGATGGAGCCATTACTATACTTCAGGAACTGTACTAACTGCTTTATGTGGACTTTCTCATTTGACCATCTGAGTAGCTGAATTATCTACATTTTTTAGAGGCAATCAGAAGTTAAGCAACATGTCCAAGTTCACACGTTACCAAGTAGCAGAGTCTGAGTTTGAACCACAGCCTGTCAAATCAGCACTGAAGGTATACCTGGGGCTGCCTAAATGCAGGGTGGGCCGGCAGGGGTCTGGCAGGGATGCTCGGTGCACGCAGAGCCTGGTGCAGGGGAGGGAGGACTCGCTGAGGTGACTTGGGCGGAGGGATGTCCAGGGCTTTGAGGGGTCTGCTGATGTCAACATTCGGACACTGAGGCATTCTCCTGGGATTGTTCTGCATAGTCAAAACAAAACGTCATGCTGTAACAGGTTTTAAAAATATCAATAATTCCTTAAGGAAAAAGCAGTGCTAACTTGTCTGCTCTAGCTGAAGGGAGGAGAGAGTGGCATAGGAAAGAAATCAAGGATGTATATGAAAGGGAATCTATTATTTATTTAAACTTCAAAATTCTAACAGATACACCATCCCTAACTCCCAAATCTGGAATAGAGGGATCTATTTTTATTTAGGTTAAAAAATGCTGATTTGATTAAGAAATAGGAGCTAGGCATTTGAGAAAGTACCAGGTATGAAGACACAGACCCAGATCTTAAGGAAACTGCAAAGGAGGCATGAAAACAAGACATGGCTTAATGCATACGGGGCACCGAGAGAACCAGAGGACAGCCAGGATTCCAGGAAGCTAGGGCCCAGCCAGGGGCTCCCCTGGAGACTGCGTCTCCCTCATGGTGCCTTATAGTTCATATCCTTCTATCCCTACCCCTTCCTCCTCCCTTTCTTCTTTTCTCTTAAAAAATGGCATTATTGAGATATAACTGACATATAATTAGCTGTCTATATTTACAGTACACGATTTACTAATTTTTGACCTGTGTTTATATCCCTGAATCTATCGCAGCAAACATGATAAGGAACATATCTATCACCCCAAAGAGTTTGCTTGTCATCCTTCCCTCCCGCCAAGCTCCCTCCTCCTCCCCTGGCAACCAGGGTCCACTTTCTGTCACCGTAAATTAGTTTGCCATTTTAGAATTGTATATAAATGGGATCATAGAATCAGGATCCGAGATTCATCCACGGTGCTGTGTCTGTCCATGGTTCACCCCTGCTCTTTGCTGAGCAGCATTCCGTTGTATAATTACACCAGGGTCTGTTGATCCTTTCACCTGGGGGTGGATATTTGGATCATTTCCAGTTTTGGCTGGGCTTCTGCTTCGCACAAATAAAGCCATTTGGGGACAGGAGGTGGTAAATGTTTTCAGGAATGGTAGCTTCTTCCTTGGAACCCAACCCTCTACACTTTTTTGGATCAAGGGAAATAAAATAGCTTATTGCCTGTTAAAACAGGATAATGATGTTTTCAATTATTTCTCATCTCTTGACACCTATCTCGTTCACTGTTATAACATGGACTCTTGATGAATGAGAGCAATATTCAAATATTTCTATGAACACATCAGAAACACTTGGTGGGGAAAAGTTAGAGTGAAATGTAGTAATAATCCACCAGGGGAGTAACAGGAAAATTAAGAGACAGCAGGGAGCCATGGGTACTTTGGGTTAAGGACTTGATTCTTTGAAACCACAGGGTGGACAGAGCTTCCTCAGCTCAGGGCTGGAGCGAAATGGGCAAAACTGAAGGGTCAGTGTAACTTTTAGAAATACTTTAGGAGAAACAGTGGGCCAAAGAAGCTTACCCATATCCAGGCGGTGGCATCTAGAAACCACCGGAGGGGCCCAGGGTCCACAGCCTGCTCGGGCTGCAGATCCAGTAAACACGAGTGTCTGGGTGACTGGAGGGATGAGGCTTCACAATGTACACACACCACGTCATGCAGGGGACACTGGCCACCCTGGTGGGATGCAGCAGGGGTTCCGGGGGGATACCATGGGGCTTTCCTTCATGCTCTGAGCATCATAGGGACCGCTGGCTCAGTGATTCCTTGGAGGAGCCTTTAGGATCCTGCTCAGCCTAACATCGAAATGCCCATGTAGTCAAGCACGTACTAAGTTTTCGTGCTCAAATTTACCTTAGGTGGGTTGGAATCTGCTGGCTTCTTCACCAGGCTTTTCCCAAGGTGGGTGAGGTGAGCGTGTCCAGGACAGGAGCCACCGGCCGGCCGTGAAGGGTGCACACACCTGCAATGCAATCCGGGGCCCAGGGGGTTTCCCCTTATTACTAACTTGGCTTTTTATAGTTTATTTATCATGACACTCAAAAAATAATTTACTTATTTTAAATCAATGTGATAAACATACACAGGAAAAATTACCTACAGCTATTATAAAATCAACAAATAAATGCTGATTTTGGTTTTTGCCCCCAAATCCATGATTCTGTCAGATTAGTTCTTGTGATCCACCTGGGAGATGTTTTGTAAGAAACTGGCATTTCAGCAAGAATGTCTTTGAAAACATCTTGATCAAAAGCCATCTGACCTGATGAAAATATTTGAATGTCTCTGTGTCTTATGAAAATTAAGAAGAAGAAAATAAACCAGCAGGATTCCTCAACACCCTGCTTGTCTATGTAATAAGAAGCAAATAATTGGAAGGGCAAGAAAGGGTGCAGCTGGTCTGGTAGAAATTAAAAACAAAACAACAGAACCCCCCATTCCTACCCCCAAACCCCAGGCTTACTATTCAGGAAACCTAACCTTTCCTTTGCTAAGGAAACTGAAGTGAGGAGAAGTTTGTTGTACATTTTTTCAACCATTTCTTGAAAAGATGATGACCCAAACCCAGGGTACCTTAGCTTTTCAATGGTTGTTTTTTTATTTGTAAACAGCAGTCGCAACAAGGTCTTCCTTTTGAGATAAACCACAGACCCAGCCGCAAGAAGACACAGGATGGTCACGAGAATTCCTACGGTTAAACCTTGGTTATCTGAAACAAAACACATTTGACTCACACAGAAGGCAGTTACAGTGAAATATGGGAGGTTTCCAATTGTGACATTTATAGCAAAGCCAACTTTGAAGGAACAAACAGGAATGGAGTGAGTAAACCCCAGAATGATGTACTAATAAATTAGTCCTACTTCAAAGGTCATGTCTGAGGCTCCCTCCATGCTGCCATCACTCATTGCTGACGACTGTGGGACTTGCTAAACAGGAACATGGCCTGGACCACACAGGCTCCCCCAGACACGACAACAGCAGAGTAGACCATGGTAGCCACAGAAAGTAACAGGGGATACTTCGAAAGCTTCCTGGGAATGAAAGCAGCCCCCCAGACCTAAATATCTCCAGCCCTCATCAGAGATGTGCTACTTCAGGCTCCTTTCTCCCTTCATCTGTGCTTTTAGAATCTGCTTTATTTATTTATTTATTTATTTTGAGACAGAGTCTCCCTGTCGGCCTGGGTAGAGTGCTGTGGTGTCAAGAGCTCATAGAAACCTCAAATTCTTGGGCTCAAGTGATCCTCCTGCCTCAGCCTCCTGAGTAGCTGGAACTACAGGCACCTGCCACAATGCCTGGCTATTTTTAGTAGAGACAGGGTCTCACTGTTGCTCAGACTGGTCTGGAACTCTTGAGCTCAGGTGACCCACCTGCCTCGGCCTCCCACGGTGCTAGGATTACAGGTGTGAGCCACTGAGCCTGGCCTATTGTATTTTTTTTTTAATGAGAATCTTTATTTCTAGACATCTCAAATTAAATAATGAATGGGGAAAAAGAAAACGTGTAGCTTAAATGAAATGTTCAAGGGTTTTGATGTATTTGGGACTTTCAAGTACAGGCTTTGGGTGGAAAGCCCTCCTTCTGGAAGGGCACTGCACTTTTTCTTTATAAAAACATCTTTTCTATGATCCGCATCCTTTTTGTTTAGTACATTTGAGAGATTTCTTGAGGGTGTGGCCAGAAGAGGAACTCAAACCATCAGCCTGGCTTCTGGCAGTAGCTCTGGTTGTTGGGCTGTTGGGGAGGACTCTGAGGGCCGGGACGGGGAGGAGGACCATTTGCACTTTCGGCTGGACTGTGAATTCCTTGAGTTTGTGGGTTGTTATTTATTTGTCTCTATCTTCCCCCAAACAAGGTTCAGGGTGTGCTTTACATAGTAAGTATACAACTGTCCTTTCAGGCTGCTCCCATTACCCAGCCCTCCGCCCCTCTTCCTGAGGCCTCAGCTGGCTGCGGAGCTGAGCGGCAGCAGAGCCCACTCCAGGAACAATGTCTTCATGTCCCTGTGTCTGCACTTCGTCCTCGACTGACAAGCCCTATCAGGGATGTGTTTTAGCCTAAATAAGACAATCGACATGGGACAGTCTGGATTCACTTGTTTGTGTTACTGAAAAGCATCACTTTGGGTTTCTTGGCCAAAATGTCATTCTTTTCAGACACTTAGCAGTGATCACGGGGGCTCTGGCTAAAGTTCTGGCGTCTCCTAATAAACCTAATTAAAAAGTGAGTGGGAAAAGTCTTGAACTGTTATTTTTAGTTTCTTAAAATCAATCCGTAAGTTTTAAATTCATCAATCTATCAAACCTTTAACGGGAGCATTTCCTAGGGTTGTAGCACCACCTGCGGCTTGCTAGGGCCTAAGAAGTGGGTCCCATCCTCAAAGCCAAAATCTAGACCTCTGCACAGCCCACTATCCTGGCCATAGAGCAGCATCTCTCTTGCCCTCTTGAGACTGCAGAAGACTCATGGAGTCCATGGGAACCTTCCGGACACCCCCTGCTCTTCCGCATCCATGGAGTTGCCCCGTCCCCTGACACCCTCCCTGTAGCCTACACCCATCACGCCTTGTCATGCAGCTTAGTGTCTGTCTGGGACCCAGGAGAGCAGCTGGCAGAGGGCAGACACATGAGATGTCCTTGTTTAATGAGTGACTGAGGGAGCCACACAGGCCAGGAGCAGCAGACTGTGGGGACAGCAAGGCTCAGGCCACAGAGCTCTGCCTGCCTTGATTTTGTATGTGGGAGTGCGTGTGGGGCTGTTTAAAAGTGTGCTCTTTTATGAATTGATGGCCTCAGTGAGTGCTATTTGGTTGTCTTCGTGTTTTAAACATTCTCACTTGGTACAGTGAAGACTTGGTGACTCTGTGGGGTCCCTGCCTTTTTGGAGTTCCCTGGTCAGTGACCAATACTGGAGGGGAACCAGAGCTTGGTGCCCTTCTGTGGCTTCTCCAGTCTCTCCACGCCATCTGGTTTAAGTGGCTGGAGATGGAATGGGCAGCAGGGTCCCTGACGGATTAAAAACTAACGCCCTGCTACTTTTGTACAATAAACATGTAAAACCACATTAGAGGCTTAAACTGCAGCTGGAGACCAGTCGGCAAGGCTGAGATGCCACCAGGGAAGAAGACGCTGAGCCCAGCCCTGGCTCCCCTGCCACTGCATCTTAAAACGAGGCAAGACTTTCAGGTCCCTTTTCTCCTTGCTACAGGCCCGGGGCCTGCTGGCGTGGTAACCTGGAGCTACCCGGCAGGGTAGACTCGCCGTGTTTCAGCAGAAGCATGACCAGTACCTCACCACCCTCCTGGCGCTGTCTGCAGATGTGTCCTGTAGGTTGGACTCCCCTCCAGCGCCAGGCCCTGCAGAGTAGTGTTGTGTCTGTTGTCATGGAAATGGTGGCAAAGCCATAGAATCAAGACTGCCAGTCACAGCAGGGCAAGCGGACGCCTGACCCCTCTGCAGCAGCTCTGTCTGAGTCTCAGGGTCACAGCCGGCTCGGATGAGGGCCGGGAGAAAGCGCAGGTGGCCTGTGAATCCTGCCCCTGGCTCCCTGTTGTGGCCCCTGCAGAGTGTGACAGGGACATCATTCAGACTTGCCCCCGACTGTCTGTACTAGGAGACCATTTCTAAAGGTCATCTGAGCACAAATGCACTACGGTTTGAGCACAGCTGCTATTCAGAGCTTCTTGTGGGACAGACAGACTTGTGTCTAAATCTTAGCTGTTAGGCTTTGGGCAATTTCCCTGGACCCCTAGTCCTTTATATGTCGGAAAACAATAGTAACACCTATTTCAGGTAGAGTACGGAGGGGACGACAGAGGGCACACGGCCTCGGCACAGCGCTTGTACCACAGACACTGTCACTGCTGCTAGGGCAGCTGCTGTGGCCGTCACCTTCACTAAGGGGTGGGTGTCTTTCTACTAGGAGTTTTAAAAGCATTCAACTGCACACCTCTTAGCCCTTGCACGGAGAAGCTGGCCTTTAGAAAGTCCTCTGGTATGATGATGAAATTCATACCCAGTTGGTAGTATGCTGTAGAAATTACCCAAGCTAAGAAAAGTGTCCCGAGCTAAAATGTAACTGGCAAACTCAGCCACACACTCTGAGCAGAGAGCAAAGCGCTTTGGGAAAGAGCAGGGCAGGATTAGACAGAGCCTCTGAGATCAGCCCCAGCTACGCAGAGCCACGTGGGTTCCCCCAGGTTTCCTGCCGATGGGGGTCAGCTGCACCCACTCTCACAGCTTGTGAGCCTGTCCCCCTGCCGCCCACTGCCCCCATCAGCTCCGTGTCCCCCCCAGGGACGCAGGGGCCTCACTGACCTGCTCGCCGGATGGGGCCGCTGTCTGTGCTTCCTCCAAAGCCAAACTTGTCACAGAAGGGAGGTGCCCAGTGGGCCTCACAGTGACAATTCTTCCTGTTGTTGCACACCTTTCAGGGCGGCAGGAGAGAGGGACACGGGGAGGGTGCCGTGTTAGGGTACGCACCCTCCACATGGTGCTATAGAAGGTGTAGAGGCACTGTGGTCAGAACCCCTGCCCCAGCACCGACAGCCCGGCTCAGTGCGCGTCACCGTGAGAATGAGCCCAGAGCCCGGGCCCACACGGGGAGACTGGACCTGAGGTGTGGCCATGACATGACCTGCCTGCTAGTGGCCGCTAAGAGAAGAGCTGGGGCTTCTTGCCCTCCTTCTTCCTAGTCTCCCTGTCTTTCTCTCCAAACCCAGGAAACTCACCATCTGACTGATGAGAAGCCCCTCAGCAGTGAGGAGGGACCCTGCTTCAGGGATGTGGAATGAGAGCCCTCGGTCATCGTGGGACCTGACAACCTCTCGGGACATCCCTGCCGCCTTCAGACTCAGAGAGGCTGGGTGCCTGGGCTCCCCCAGCAGGCCGGGGTGGGGCAGGTACTTCCTGGCACTCCGGGAAGTACCGGGATTTCCACTAGCACTTCCTTGAAGCCTGCTCCAACATCTCCCTGGTGAAGTGTCCACTGCCTTCCCACAGCTTCCCGGTGGCCCTTCCCAGGCGTCCCCATGCACGATGGCCAAAGCCAACAATGAGCTCTCTTCCTCGTGAAATATGGGAATGGCTCTGGCAGGCCAAGAGAGCAGGAAGGGGGCGAGTTTGCCCTTGTTAGGCCCTGAATAGCTTAACCTGGAGATGAGAGTCCTCCATGGAGAAGCCAAGAGTTCTTGTCCACCTGGGCACCAAGGGCCAGTGATGGCAGCGGCTGTTCCCCTGTCTGTCAGCTCAGACTCATCCTGTCACGTACGTGATTTGCTGGACTGGTACGTGAACCAATCGGATATGGATAAGCAGACAAGAACATTAGCTCGAATACTCTGGGAATGCCGGATAAAGAAAGGCAAATCACTAAAACCAGTGTCTGAGAAATTAGGAATGGGCGGGGCGATGGCACAAAGGCTGGGGAAAGCCGAGAAGGCCGCTGTACTCAGGCTGCTGCTGGGTGGCTGCAGGTCCCCTCCACTTAAAAGGACAGGCTAACTCACTGATGAAGCACCTGTGGTGGTCTGTGGGAGGAAGTCAGCACAGAGCTCCACTCAGCAAACTGGCCCCAAAGACCTCAGCCCTGCGCCAAAATCTCGGTGCCAAATACACACGTTAATACTTTAAGGGAAAATAAAATGTCTGGAGTATATTTCTCTCTTGGAATACTTCTCCATGCCCACCGGCTTATTCTAATGAATCAGCCACCAGCCCCGCCTTGTTTCACATCAGAAGGCTGATGGTCAAGACAGCCTTTGGTGCACTGTGAGTGTACTGCTAGGAAGCAGAAGTTGAGCCTGTGCCTGCCCCTCAAAGGTGCTGCTGCTGCTGCCCCAGTCCCTAGGCGTGCCCCTGCCCGGCGAGGCCGTCCCTGCAGCGAGCAGCCTTGTGTCCTCTTTGCAGCTTGTGACACAGAAGCTGTGGCCCTGACAACCCACCCAGACATGCTCCTGGTGAGCCTGGTTCCATTAGGGAGGGACTATAGCCAAGCTACTTTGTCACCATGTTGTGGCTAGCTGCTCTACCTGCCCAGGAAATGGGCCTTTCCCCTTGGGGGTGTGGATGAGGATCCAGGGGTCTTAGAAGGTGAAGAGTCGGGGCCCTAGCCCTGCTGCAAAGGCATGTGGCCTTGGACGTGCCAGGCCCCTAACTCGGGTCTTTGCTTCTTTGCCAGTAAAATAATAGGGCTGCACTAGACTGCCTCTTAGCAGCCATTAGAAAGAAAGCTAGATCCAACAAAGACAAAAAGATTTGATTTTTCTATTGGGAGTTAGCTAAACTCACAGTCAACAAATCCAGGTGAGGACTTGATGGAAACCCTTTCCATTCTATGCAGGGATCATTGGCACATGTCTAAAAGTTTTAAAAATAGAATTTGGAGCATGATTTCTATAGAAAAGATTTCATAAAAACAAATGAACTCCTCGCATGAGCAATCAAGAGGAATATGATTCCGTTGGAAATAATTAAGCTCATCAGGAAAAATGAATTCTGTTTTGAACAATTAGAGTCCTCTTCTCCCCTAAAGGTTCTCTGAACTAAAATAACAGCTTTTGTTAGTTAAAACCCATTGTATGGGATTTTAAGAACATGGGTTTGGTATGCCCTGTCATCTCTGTTTTAATTTCTTTTGGAAGAATTTCAGTCCAGACACATCTTCTGAATGTTGCCAGCAAGAGGGATGAGTTGTTTGAAATGTTAATGTGAAATGCTTCACGACGAAAGGTTGATTTTAAAGTTACTTTGACGACAAGAAAATTCTTTTTTAAAAACTGCAGCATGTTAATTTAAAAGATAATGACCGCTCAATCTGATTTTCCTTGTTAAACAAAAACCGTGTTTGTTGTGTAAAAGGTCAAAGAAAATTAATGTTTAGAAAAAAATATTGAGAAGATATTATCTGCTCTATTTATAAAAAGCCATGGCTTATAAAAACTATTACAAATGAGGGATTTATTGCTTAATTTGTTACAGGCTGGCTATAAAGAGTCAGCTCAGTGCACTCACCCCTCTGCCGTGGCACTGCACCACACATTCGTGAACTCCAAAGACGCTGACATTCTGACATCGGCGATTGAGGCAGATCTGTAGACAGAGGAAAACACAGCAAATACCTTAATACTACTTCAGGAACCCCCTCCCCCAATACAGGTATTAAAAAGAGAAAGCAAAGAAAGGCTTGGGGAAGATCTTCCCTCAGATAATACAGATACAGCACAATGATGCATTTTTCATTGGACTTAAACACACATCCTAGTGTCTGACTCCAAATTCAGCACTTTCCAAGACTAAGTTCAATGTCAACACTATTAAATTCTTTTGTACTTTATGGCATTTTATATGGTTTCAGTTGAGCCTGAAATTATAACTGATTTTCTCACGATTTTTCTTTAGAGCTTGTAATCAAATCTATGTATTACGGCACTTCCCCTCCATTAAGAGATTCAGGAGGCAGCGAGATGGATGAGTCCTTACTCCAGTCTGCATGGACTGACGGACTTCGTGAACCCAGGAGCTGAGCATCTTTTAAGGGAGATATTGAAATATGGGAACGTTTTCAACATACAGACTGACGAGTAATATCATCAGTGATGTAAACCGTCGGCAGAGATGCCCGGCAGAGGAGAACAGACGGCCCCCTTGTATTTATCAAGCTGTTGCAGAGGCAGGGATTTGCAGAATGACACCCGGGCTGGTTGAGGGAGCTCAGCCTTGTTTCAAAGGGGCATAATGTACTCCAGACTCAGAGGGTCAGGCCCCTTTTCTCCCGTAAGATGTTACAAATTAATAGAGTCCAAGGAAGCAGAGTCTGATGTTTAGATGGCAGAATATTTTTTGAGTAGAACCTTCCTACGGGCAAGGTTACTCTCTGCCCCAACCACTCATGTGAGACAAGAGGAACACCCTTTGAAAAAGAGGCTGATGCTTGAAGCTCTGAGAGGTTGGTGGGAATCCTGGCCAAGGGGAGTATCACATTCCAGCTGATAAGAGATTGCCCAGGATTACAGTGAACACGGCAGGACCCCAAGAAAAGCAGGTGGGTGCTGCTGTCCTCCCGAGCCCTCAGAGAGCTAGTGTTCGCTAGAAATGGAGATCAAAGCACATCTCATCTTGCACATGAGGAAAAACAAAGCACATCTCACCTTGTACATGAGGAAAAACTCAATGACAAATTGAGTCCTTGGAATCTCAGCGTTCAGAGGCACCTGGCCCTGGCTATTCAGGCTACAGTTTAAAAAATGGGTGTCATTCTAATGTCAAAGCTGGCGTGTATGCTAATGTGGCTCAGAGACATCCAGAATGCCCAGGACTTTTCTCGTACTGTTCTAGTTCCTCCAGGAAAAGCCTTTGTTGCTGAGGGCGTGTGGGGAGATTCTCCCCGTGTCCTCAGGATTCTCCCTGTGTTGCTCTTTTCTTTTCTGCGACCTCCATTTTACTGAGAGATTTCAAGATCACGTTGAAAATGGGGTTGATTCGTCTTTCCCCTAAAACATTTCACTAACTTGCTATCATTTTATCTGATGAGAAAGGTTGGTAAAAAAAAAAAAAAAAATCAGTGTGGTAGAACATGAAAATCTCAAATTCTTTGTTTCTTTAAAAAAAATTGACTATATTTCTAAACCTCAAAGTATTCTCATCTACCTCTCCCCCTCTTCTCTGAAAGGACTCTCCCTGGCTTAGCGTTTATCCTGTCTCTTCCCCTTCCTCTTCTCTCTAGGGCCTCTGAAAATACACCCAACTTCCCATTCCGTCCAGGCAAGGACAAGCCCCCAAGAATTTTGTGCTAAAAACCAAGCCGCATACCCCAAACCAATAGAACATGCTGTTGCATTTCTTTCCAAAGGCACTTCCTGGCTGGAAACCCTCATGACACCCAGAGTGTAGAAATGACTTATTAACACTATGCAGCTGAGAAGACTAGCTTGGTTTTCCCAAATCTGCATTTCAATGGTCAGACCAGGATCTAGGATTTATTGACTTTTTCTTTTAGGTGCAAAGAAGTGGAGTCCAGATACAGTGTTCTGAGAAGGGGAGTTAGGGAAACCAACCAACCTGGTAACCCAGTTCTTGAACAGGACGTTTTCCGATGGGCCCTGTTCCAGACTTACATTTAAGATGCAAGCGAATATTTAGGACTTACTTTTCCTTCTGCGCACTTTGTGCCCGCAAGGACCAGCCCTGGGTCCGGCATGTCATCGCCCAAGTACACGTGGGTTCCCCGGCACAGAATCCGGCCTCCTTCCTGCAGTGGGATGTTTGTTTCTATGGAAACGGCATTGGTACCAATGACAGGCCGGCTGGCACCTCCTTGACACTGGATTTTCCCACATTTAGCGTCTCTGGAAGGGTAAGAAGAAACAGTTTCCAAAGAGAAATGGTTTGGAGTGAACACTCGGCGACGCGGAAAGGTCGAAGCCACAGTGGTGCAGACTCCATACCTCATCTCGCACTTGGCGAAAGAGCTCTTGGAGTCTTTGCCGCAGTTTCCGTAGGGGTCACCGGCAGAGTTGACTCTCTCGAAGCAGATCCCAGGCGCAGGTTTAGCACCTGGAACAGAAGCAGAAGAGCAACTATGTCTCCTGCAGGCAGTTTTCATGTGTCCCTGTGAACGGCACGAGCTTTAGGGTTCTGTATTCTGAGTAACCCTGCTCAGTGTCTCAGCTGAGGGGTGCCGGCCACTGGAAGCCTGGAGTGTCCACAATGGCCACCTCTCCTGGCTGGGTCCTGGCAAAGTACACATATCACAGCTTACCCTCCTTGAGATCTGCAGGTGGGGGCCATGGCACATATAGCCTGGCTGGGGATGAGGCCTGGCCGTGGGAACAGACCCGACCCGGGGCAGAGAGGAGTCGGCCGGCAGCAGAGAAGAAGCTTGCCCTCTTCAACATCCCACACAATCCCAATGAGAAAATGCAGGGTGGGGCGAGCTCCCGAGAGTAATGATGACTAATGAAGTGAGAGAGAGAGAGGAGGGAGGCAGAGACCCCATACAACACCTTCAGTCCCACAAAGCCTCCTGTAGGGCAAGCCCAGGCTTCAGTTAACGCCTATTCCCACAAGGCAGAGGTTGTGCTCAGCGACTGTGGAGACAGAAACCCTGATGGTCACTGAGCACAGCATGACAGTCCCCAGCAGAGAGGGTCATGGCAGCTGGACAGCTCAGGAAATGGCCATTTTTAGCACATTTTTCAGCTGTGGAAAGAGAGAGTGTATACTTGTGTTTGCAGCCTTAGAGGGCTGTTGAATCCCATGCACGGTGATATCTGCGGAAGACTGTGAGCCACTCAGGAAAATGTGCCACCTTCCTTAGGACCAACTGTGCCTTCTTTCTCCCTACATGGGCGTCCTATTTGGGCACTTCCTCTCACATCACTTCCAACCGCCAGGATGTTAGCCCCCCAGACCCCAGCTCTGACTCCTGCTCTTCTCTGCACCCAACTCCAGAGGGCTCCATTTGCCTCCCCAGGGGAGAGTGGACATATTTAAGATGCCCATCAGAGGATGGCAGGGCTCCCCTCCTCCCAGGGAACAGATGGCGTCCCCATTACTGAAAACACCCTGTTCTTTAACCTGTGCCTCTGTGATGAGCCAGCCAGCTCTGAACCTCTCACTTCCCCACTCTTTTTATTAAAAGCCATCTCAGAGAAGCCTCCTTAAACCTCCTTTTCAAGGGCACTAGCCCAGACTGGACCCGAAGGTCTATCAGGGAAACAGACAGGTCTCTGGCTCTCCAGTAGCACTTTCCTGTTACTCTGTCTGACGTGCCACGTCTTTGCTGGCAGTGTGATGGCAGCACGGACACACGCAGCTGCTGCCCGCTATGGGTGCGGTTCATCCACACTCTCCACTCTTACTTTTTTCATTTACTTGTTGGAGGGAGGAAGGATGGGGAGAGTGAGTCTCAGTGTGGTATCTGCGCCTGTACTTAATTCAATCCTGTTTGATAGTACTTTGATCAAAGTACTTAGATCTAATTGATCAAAGCAGTTTGGAAAAACAGGCTTCTAGAACACTAACAACACAGCGGTTGTTTGTGTGTTTTTGCATAAACCCTCAGTATTTACGGACTGCCTGTCTGGTGCTATCCTCCTCCTAACCATCCATCCATCCACCTTTCCACCCCTCCCTCCCTCCCTTCTTCCCTTCTCCCTTTCCTCTCTCCGGCTGTCCTTGCCCCGTGTTCACTCTCCCCGTCCCTCCCTCCTTCCTTTCTTCCATCCGTCCGCCACCCCTTCTCCCTGTCTCAGAGTTCAGTCACACACACGCATATATTCAACACTTCCTGCTTTCCAGACACGGGGGGGTACGACAGTGACCGAAGGGGACAAAACTCCTGCTCGCTTGAAAGTTTCAAGGAGAAACAGACAACTAACACAGGACTATGTTTCTGAGCATTCCAGTGCCGGGGAGCGCTGGGAAGGAAAGACAGAGGGAGGGAGGCCGGGCAGGACACACCTCCAAGAGGACACACCTCCACATCTCCCGTCACTTGATCCTGCAGGGAGGGTCTCATCCCATTTTATGGACAAGAAAACTAGGACATCAGGGGTTAAATGCACTGCTTGGAGTCGCAGGCTGGCTGAGGGTCCCCAGACTGCTCCAGTGTCAGTAAGGCCTCCCCAGGCTGGGCCTTAGGGGCAGAGAGCAGAAGACAAATGGTCCCCACAGCTCAAGTGACGCCAGATTTGGTGGAGATGGGGCAGGCTGCTGCAGCTGCCCTCTGCAGGGCTGTGCAGTGAGGCAGGAAATGGCCTTGTTCCTTCTTTCCGTCCTTCAGGAGACCAGGACAAGGCAACACTAGAAGCGTCTACTGGATTCTGAGCTCGGGGATTGGGCTGATAATACTCTGTCCCTGAACGCAATGCTGGTTTTATGTTACATGGATTCTGCTACCCTTACTAGTAATTTTTCTTCTGCGATTATGGCGACTTAAAAAACTATATACCGTGCTGCAATTTAAATATGTTAATCAATAACTTTGTTATCCTTATAGGGATCCATAAAGAGATTTCTGAGCAGTCTGAGATGTGTGAGCTCACAAGTAGCTCATGACAGTGGAAGGAGGACTGGAGGAGGCCCAGGGTCCTGTGCTGGGGTGCTCAGGGCAAGACAAGGAGAGGAAAGATGAGAGGGAGGGACAGACCACAGCAGGGACCCAGGACACTGCAAGTGCACTGGCAAAGCCAGGGTATGGCAGATATAGAAATGCCCAAGAAAGGGAATAAAATTATAACAGGAAATCAAGTGATGGTGTGGAAACACTCTTCAAAAAAGTATAAAAGCATTTTGGAGGCAAAAAATCAACCTAGGATCATTGGGAATCCAAATGCAGAAAGCACAGGCTTCCAGGACAGGGTGTGTGTACAATTCGATTGCCCCAAATAGCGAGGCTTAGAAAACCAGCAGTGCGTAAGGTGCAACGACTCCTAAGCTCACTAGGGGTACGGAGCAGCCTCGGTGCGCACCGGTAACTCTGAAGCACTGTGGACGTGGAAGGCCACCGGGAATTTCAGGAAAGCTGCCATTTTCCCAAAGTAAAACCCACAGAAATGTTTATGGCCAATTTGAACATGCGAATTTTTAGCAACATGGACGGCACAGCCAGGAGTCTTATAACACGCTGTCAATAAACTTGACCAGAAATCGTGAAGAAAACCAGTTTAATTAACACCGCCTTTCTTTTCCCTCTCCCAAATCATGTCATCATTTTATTCAGATTCTTTGTTTGTTCTTTGGCCTCAAGGTCTTTTTGTTTTCTGCGACACCCCCATGGCACTTCTGGCTTGTTCTGATGTCAACCTTTAGATTCTGTTGTGATGCTGTCCCTGGAAATCTTGTTTTTAGGCCAGAGTGGCCCTCTTCTGGCACTTTCTCCATTTGTCCTCTGGTGTGTGTGAACAACCTCCACAACCTAGTCACCCGTTCTACCGCTTAGCAAAGTGATCCTTCCAAGGCTTTTTTAAACCAGAATAACCAAAAGTATAGGATGATATCACAAGTTAGGAATAAGAACTAATTGTGTGATGAACATGCTTGTCTTTTATGAAACCCACCTTTGTCAGGCAACCTTGATGAGCCAGCATGGACAGAGGTGGACTGGACCCAAAAGGTCTTCCCAGCTGGACCATGATATTCAGAAGTTGTGGCTGAGGGATTGAGGTCACTCATACCTGGTTCTTTCTGCTGGCCTCTGTGGGGAGTCCTGTTTTCCAGCTGGGGACATGTGGGATCCAAGAAAAACAAATGTGTGTCGAGTCCTAACTTGTTTGCAATGCTTGCTCCTGTTTGAGTTTTGTCCTCAGTGGCCACACTGCAGTAGAACAGCAAGGACTTGGGACTCGGAATATCGTGACACCTGTGTCACCCAATGTGCAACGGGACCTTGTTACATAAGCCCTTGGGAGGGTCTCCTCCCAAGGAGGGTCTCCTCCTCCGTTAAAGGGGACAGGGGCTGATCCTGTGGTACCGTGAGGCTCACTGAGTCAGTGCACAGAGCGCTGCCACATGGCAGGCCCGCACGGAACCCAGTGACCATGGGGACGACTGTTTGGCTTCCAGGCTTCATGGCTGGGAGAATGTGAGAAGGCTTAGCACACATGTATCAGCTCCCGCTGTGATTCTGGTCCCCAGGGCCAAGACATCCAGAGGACTAGTGGAGAGTGTTGAGTAACTGGACACCTCAGGGAATGAAGAGGGAGAAGGAGAATCTCATCTGAAACCCTGGTGGGTTTTGCACATCTTTTGCATAGAAATCAAAACCATCACTGCAGCTCAAGGATTTCAACTTCCCTGCATCCCCCTCCTCCTCCTCCCTTCAGTGAGTGAGCCCCCCACTGCGTGCACCCTGAGTCCAGGCTGGCTCTGGACCCTCCTGGCCTGCTGTGACCTGGGCTCCAGATTCTCAGCTGGGCTGGCCCCAGGCGCCACTCTGAAAGAGGCAGCAGGAGACCTCGAGTAAAGACCTTGAGTTTGCCTCCTTTTCACGCCCCTGAGCCGTGGGAACAAAACCCACCTTCCTGCATTTCCTCTCTGCTCTCCGCAAACAAAGACTTGAAGTGAACGGTGCATTTCCAATCATCCACGTGCTATTTGTTGGGCACCCCAACTCTTAGGTTTGTGCTGGGTACAGGATGCCGAATCTTTGATGCTCACCGTCTCCCTGTAAGGCCCACATATCCCCATCTCACAGATTTGATACTAAGGCTCAGTGTTACAGTAACCTGCCGGAGATCACAAAGTTGGGTTTGACTCATGGATCTAAAGTCCAAATCCACAGTCCCTCTAGCCAGCCCTGACCCTGTGCTGCCTCCCACTTAGAACCACCCAGTGGACCCCAGACCCCTGTCCCTGTCATCCCTCCATCTGTCCCTATCCAGAATCACCAATGTGCTCTCCTGAGACCCACCTGCTCCTGGACCTGGCTTCATCTCTACCAAATCCTTTCCCAAAGCCAGGCTGGGACACCGGCAACCCCCATCCCAGGTGATGAACTAAATTGGCTGACACTCCATCCCCCAAATCTGAGCATGCCCAGTGGGGTTTCCCTC